CATTTACAATATTTACGACTCGTTCTGTTAGCACATAATATATCTGAAGCTCTTATTACAGTAGCACACTTGACTCCGCGTGGTGACTTATTAAGAATACAGAGTGTCACCACCCCTAATCATCCCGTGGATGTCGTAAGAGCCCACTAAGGGAGCAAATTAAGCAAGATAACAGCACTGCAAAAAGAAGGAAACTTGAACAAACCCTATACCTACCCGTCTGGCTAGCGTGGTATAGTAGGCCAAAACCTCCTTCCTATGGAGAGGCCTATGTCCAGCAGTGGACTAGTAAAGGCTGTGGATGGATAATGACACTTGACTGCCACGCAGGGTCACGAGTTCAAGTCTCAAACAGCTCAAGTTTTTGTGTTTATGAATTTTTTTATTTATCTGGGGCATGGGGTCGGTGGTCGGCTTCCAGGGAGCAGAGGGAACATGGGGTTCCCACACGGGGGGGGGGTCGTCTACTCGTCTGTAGATGGCCCGAGGTATGCCGGTTCACCAGGGACTTCCTTTCTAGGGTATACCTGGTTCCCCGGCTATTAGTACCCGAGACGGCGTGCGGTTTTAGTCGGTTCGAGTCCGACATGCCACCGTGGTATTCGAGGGGAGTAAAAAAAAAGAAAATGGATACTCTAGTAATTTAGAAACTAATAACATCTAGTGGATTTCCTGATACTAAAAACGTATTATATTATGTAAAACGGTATATTATGTAAGCAAAATAAAATTTTGATATATAAAAACTTTAGTGTATCTTAAATCTTTTACTAAAGTCCAAAGTTACTCCGTTAACTGTTCCCCAATTCACCGATTTTTGGCACCGAGAGACATATGCGAACAAACAGAAAGTACCTATCCTTTGTTTTCGCGTAATGTCCAAACTTTTTATTGTATCCCAACAAATTTCAATTCCTTTTTATGTGGTTTTAAGTTCAATATATGAGGCATGCGTAATGGTGTACGTTCTTTGCATAGGAAAGCAGTACATGGTTAAAATTTTAAGTTCCTTTGATCTGATCTAGCGGGGGAAAGGTTAAGTATAAAATGTTGGAATTATTTATTAGTTATTTAATAATAATATTATTTCGGCCATCTGACACATCACGCCATCTAGTTTCAAACCATAAAACTAGATGCTTTCATAGTACAAGCTCTGCTTAGTTTGACTGATGGAATACTTTTATACTTTTTTTGCGGTAAATACATAAATATTATACATAGAAAACACCCAAACTCGGACACAAATATTTGCAGATCATACAAACATTTGGTCCGACCCCGGAATTGAACCCGAGACACAGCAGTCGCATAGGCTACCACTGCGCCACTGAGGCAGTAAAGTCAGTCAGTTATTATCTACTACCTATTTTTATTATTTCGTCGTTTTTATTATTAGTCGATTTGAAATACTACTAAACTAATTATAATAATAAGGCGGGATGTTTGACCGTGGACAAGACATGCTCCAGCACATATGGGCTGGCTCGACGGGAGTGATACCACGGCTTCACAGAAAGCCCGTGCCAGTGCAGTCAGTGATAAGCCATTCTTTCGTAGGTTTCTACTGAGTAACTGAAGTAATCGGAGGCCCAAAACTAACTTTGATGGACCTCTATTACTTTTAGAACGAAGTTCCATATCGCACCTTACACACTCTGAGCGGATGGGAGCGAAACCGAAAAATGTGTAACAAGACTTTTTTCCGACACTTCCTGCTATAGTTATGCCGTATAGGCCGTGTATGATTAAAAAATTCAAAATTATTTTATTGTAGTCTAATACAATCAACACTTAAGGAACAACACACTACACTACATTACATGCATGTCTAAAGCTAAGGTGTGATAATTACTTTTGTTAGTAATTATCCCAGACCATTCAGTATTTAATTTATCATTGTTGTTGTTTTTCAATTTTACTCTATGAACTTGATATAAAGGTCGCACGGTGTTTTTTATATAATAGGAACGCTAGCTTCCACCTAGCCGCTAGGCCGCTAGCACCTAGCTTCTACCTGGTGGGAACTACCACCGGCGATGAACACCTGCAAGTGAAGAAAGTGCCTACCTACCCTTTGATTTCTACCCCTTAAGTTATTTGTATGTGTTTATAGATAGTGGTAATCGCTATATTTACAGACTTACCGAAAAAAATTATCAACCAGCTGACACATTAAATTTTTCATACAAACGAAGCTACGGTCGCAACTTGTCTAAGATAAGTCTTGATTAAATAGAACCGATGGAAATAGGATAAAAGTACTAAAATTATTGTCTGTAATCTGATGAGAACTGTTTCCAATGCCACTTGGGTAAATATTAATTATTTTTAGGATTCTGTGCTTCAAAAGGACACAGTAATCTTTAAAATGAAATTTCGTTGACGTACCTATAATTTTATAAGTGTTTTCTGCAAAATAAATAATTTGAATTTGGGATGTCTGTGAAGCCTCTTTATCTTAGGCATTCGTGGAGGAATAAAGGGGTTTTAACATCAATTACTTCACATCACACATCACCAGCCTTTAATAGTCCACTGCTGGGCAAATCTCTCTTTAGGAAGGAGGTTTCAAGTACTTATAATAACAATTTTGTTACTAAATGCAGCCAAAAGATAAATCCAATTAAACCCTATATTCAACAAACACTTCTACACGTACTTTCAATTGACCTAGAATTATGTTATTTGGCGAGAAGCAAATATAAACTATTATTTTGCGATGATAAACTATGACGTAATTGGAAGCATGGTGGAGTATTTTTAGAGCAAAGTTCAGTTTTTCTAAGAAACATGGTAGTTAGTTTACGATTAACAAGATAGGACGAACTAACTACCTACAAGATTGTACGGATTCCATTTTTACCAAGATTCATCCAAGAATAAATTAAAAAGGATTATTTCGATATTTGTTTCAAAATAAAATTGATAATTTTACAGATCATTTCAAAATAACTAGATGAAAGTGAATTTATGGCCATTTGTACAGGAAAAGACCAAAATATGTCTATTTGGTAGAGACGAGGGTTTACCCCAATCTATAAATAAAAAATAACGAAATTCACAAATAAAAAAACTATTTTATCATCATCATACCTACATTATCATCATATAATGATGATCCATTAAACCTACAACGGATGATTATGATGATATAAAAAAGGGTAAATGTTGCAATTTTTTTTTTATGATACAGGGGGTAAACGAGCAGACGGGTCACCTGATGTAAAGTGATTACCACCAACCATGAACACCTGCAACTCAGTGCATTTTCCACATAATTATTACTTACGTGCTTAACACTTCTTCACAATCTACAGATATTTTACAAACTTTTTCATTATCGAGTATGTCAATTATCGCGGTAAAAAGCGGTAGCCTATATCCTTTCGAAAGAATCAAACTATCTCCACACCAAATTTTATCTGAATCTATTTTATCTGAATTGATTCCCATGCAAACTTCCACCCCCTTAAAGAATGTTTTTGTGATAAAAACTATCCTATGTCCTTGCCCGGGACTCAACTATCTTTATACCAAATTTCATCAATAGCGGTTCAGCGGTTTAAGCGTGAAGAGGTAACAGACAGATAGACAGACACTTTCGCATTTAGAATACATATTAGTATGAATATAGATAAAACAGATATTCTCCTTTTCCCCTTTTTTTTAAAGGACAACTCCTGCATTAGGAATATATCCTGTGTCGCGGGGGACTTTACAAACATACATGAAACGGACATAAAGAACACCCAGACTCAGAACAACTATTTGTGGATCACACAAAGTGTCGTCCCATGTGGGATTTGAACCCACAACACTCGACGTAATAGGAAGCGGCGTGGCGACCGCTTAAACCGATCAGAGGAAAGATGACGTCAACAATATAGTAAGGGGATAATGTAATGGAAACGCGCTTTAAATTAAAACGACTTAAGCGCTCTAGCGAACAGAAGATACCTCGGCGTATTTGATCTGAACTAGGTCAGTATAAGATTATGGTAATCGTGCGATAAGCCAACTTTATCTTAGCAATAAAATTTGATGGTTTTTTCTATAGAATTACAATAATTTTGAATTTAATCGCGCTTTAATTAAAATGTCTATAGTTTTAACAACATTTTTCATACGTTTTTATAATATTTAGGTACATAAATAGCTTTTATCGCGTTAAAAAGTAGCCTATGTCTTTCCTCAAGAATCAAAGTATCCTCATACCAAATTCTATCTAAATTAGTTCAGCGGTTATTGATTCTCTATACAAACTTCCGCCGCCTTTTCACCCCCTTAAAAGATTATTTCTGGCATAAAAACTACCCTATGTTCTTTTCCGGTCCCTTTACCGAATTTTATTTAAGTCAGGTGCAGCGGTTTAAGCGTGAAGAGGTGACAGACAAACAGCCACAATTTCGCATTTTTAATATATATTAGGCTGGATAAATTTAGTGGTAAGTATAGAATACAAAGGACACCTGCAACTCAAGAGTCACGAGTGCATAAGCCTTTTAAGCCCCCCCTGGAGTGCACTCGAAAGGAACTTTGGGCTCTAGTGACCTCACTAACGCGGTAAATAGCAATTTACCGCGCAAATCTCAAGTGATGTGGATTTTGAGTGGGTTTTAGGTTTGAGAGGGGAAGCTTTCGTAATTACGAGGAGGGGGTTGAGCGTAATTTCATCATCATCATCATCAACAGCCTTTAATAGTCCACAGCTGGACATAAGCCTCTCCTTAGAAAGGAGGTTTTGGCCTACTATACCACGCTGGCCAGACGGGCTGGTATAGGGTTTGTGTCAAGTTTTCCTTCTCTCTGCAGTACTGTTGTTCTGCGTAGTTTTTTCCCTTAGTCGGCTCTTACGACACCCACGGGATGAATAGGGGTGGTGACACTCTGTATTCTTAATCCGTCACCACACGGACATTATATGCAGTGTAATTTATGCAGCTCAAACAAGCAGACAATCAAACAATTATCATATTAGTACATATAGTTATACATACGTGTAAATAGGCGTCTCATGTCCTTGCTTGTACCATATGACAAGACCCATGCGGTCATCTGGTAGTGCTGGAGTGACGTCACAAGGCAGATGTACTTGGTCTCCGGTTGGTGCGTGCAGAGTCTCGACTGCAGCTGTAAAAAAAGATACATAGTTAAAACTAGATCTGCAAGGATACACAGGGTCTGTTAGTATAATGGTTAACAAACCTGACTGCTCAACGAGACAATACAATAATTAAGTGTTTCAGTGTAATTTATATTCTTTTTATATATATATATTATAAGTAATGATATATTAGTACTTAACAATTTATAAGTTTCTGGAGACGGATTAAGAATGCTGAGTGTCACCACGCCTATTCAACGCGTGAGTGTCGTAAGGGCAAGGGAGCAAACCACGCAGGATAACAGCACTACAAAGAGAAGGAAAACTTGACACAAACCCTATACCAGCGTAAGCCAAAACGTCCTTTGTAAGGAGAGGCCTCTCTCCAGCAGTGGACTATTAAAGGTCGTTGATGATGATAACAGATACGTACGAGTATGTTCACCAGCAGTCTGTTTACCATAGTGTAAACTTTGCCTAGTGTGAAAATATTACTAGTTACTATATATTTTTTCGATAATCTTGAAGGTATTGATAAATCCCTAATAAATATCTCTTTTTTCATGTCATTACTCATATTAAACAGAGAACAATATATAACAGAAACTTAGCTTTAATATAAAAAATCACAGTTTTTATCATCGTAAAATAGTGCCATAAAAAACACCTTTTAACAAAATTCGGCCCAAAGCGAACACCGATGGATGTGCAATAATCACTGTTATAAAATATCAGTGATAAAAATACCTGTGAAATTGGTACCCTTGAAGAAATATCGAGTATAAATAACATAGTAGCGAGTAGCGAATATTATTTTAATGATTGCTGTTGGGCACAATTCATGTTTCGATGGGTAGATAATGTGCTTATCTGATAGTGGTAAAGGTATGATGGCGAAGTGAGATTGTTATGGTGGTTTTACAGTTCTTGTTATGGTAATCTTGTTGTGTTTATGTGATTTCTGTCTTGTTTCATTTAAATGTTTTTTTCATCTTTTTGGGGTTTACTCTAAGAATCGATTTTAATATGAGACGCCCGGTATGATGAAAAGATATGAAGAGTAAAATTTTGAGATCGAATAAACTTGTTACGTTTTTGTGCGCAACCTATCGTGTGCACAAAAACATGTGAAAGACTTATGTGTGTATAACTTGTATACTTGTGTGCAGCCAAATCGTTCTTAAGGAGTAAACTCCAGTCGTGTGTCGGAGCTGACACACACATGTTTTTTTTTTATGGTAGGTATATGATTTTTATATTCTCTATGTTTGTATGTGTATAGAAGTGGTAACCTAACAAAAACATAACCTTTTTGGATATCAGAAACTATACTATACACATTTGCATATAAAAAAGCACTAGTGAGTGAGATTACCGGAGCCCTAATTCCCCTCCCGTTCCTCCCCTTGCTTACCACTTGGTGACCCGTCTCCTCTTTTACCCCTTATGCCTTAAAAAGCATGAAAGGAATTTAAAATAACAATCTTCCTCACAAGCCAATCAGAATCCTATAAGTTAAACACTAAGGTTTTAATGTAAGATACGATTATAGGACTACTCAACGTCACTTTGTGAATTTCATAAATAGAATTGCTCTCACCACAGCCGTCTGGCAATAAGATGCGTAAATCTACAATGTAAGTTTTCCCCACCTTACATAATCGCGACTGCAGGGGAAGCCTTGAAAATACCTTGTACAGATATAGGAGGGATATCAGAGGGAGGTAAAACACTCTCTCTTCAATATGTAGTGCAACAATGTAAAGGGATGTAGGTGAGGATCAATTTGCATCGTAATCAATATCTTTATGCTTCGACGTTCCTGCATTAATGCATATGCTTGGTGGCATGTGCTTATCATACAAATATGATATCAATCTATGCTCATAGAATAGTTACGTGAATGACATCTTTGACATCACTGACATAATAAAAAGTTTTCACAGATAATTAAAATATTGAAACGGATTTTACTGTCAAATCAGTAATGTTTATTAAAAAATATATTGACGGAATGAATGAATTTATTAATGTATAAAAAACGTTTCCTTAGCTTTTAAAAACAGATAATACCAATCAAGTATTTATTTCTTTTTGGTTTTACTGAATATTTCACAAACGATTCTCAATAAAACGAATTGCTACAGTAATATTCAACCGACATCGCTTCCGATTGGCCGATTAGTTACGACGATAAATTGTTTGAAAATCGACAACGTTCTAATAGGTGGAATCGGTTCCATATTTTATGTCTCGATTGGTTTATCGATCGATACTTTAATGCAAGGTTGGATATCATACTACTTGAGCTAAAGTTTCGAATTTCCTTTGTTAGTGTTTATTTTGATAGAAAATTTTGATATAGTCACTTGTGTTTTTTTTAATGGCATAGTACGCAAACGAACCTACAGCCACGTGATGGTAAGTGGAGTCACTTGGAGTCACGTGGCATCACCGCCTATGGACACTTACAATTCAAGAATCCTGACCGAGAGGTTGATCTGGCAGTTAGTGACCCTGACTGCTAAGCCGGAGGTCGTGGGTTCCATTCCCACCCAGGACAAAATTTGTGTCATAAGCACGAACATTTGTTCTGTGTCTGGGTGTAATTTATCTATTATATGTATGTATTTAATACTATATAAATATGTTTATCAGCAGTCTGGTTACCATGGTACGGGCTCTGCCTAGTTTGGAATCAGACTGCCGCGTGTGAGATATGTCAAGTATTATTATTATAATCACGAGTACTTAGCTGCCCTTACAGCCCCTCCTGCCCCCAGAATCAGGAGGGCTTAGACTCCTGTCACCTCACTCATTCGGTGAGGAGCAACGAAAGAATTGCTTAATACTGGTTTACTGTGAGACCATGGCATCACTCCGGTCGATCCTGGATTTTCTGGGTTTTTAATTATTATTATTTTAATAATAATAAATATTCTCACAAATGAAATAAATATTTATATTCAACGTCTAGATACAAAGTGTGAACTGTAAAGATATTGGAAATAAAATCAAATTGGACAGTTGCCAAAAATATCATGGAAGGTTTCGGAAACCTGTCAACCCTTCTAGACAAGGATGGAAGTGGAGCCTTCTTAAACAAATTGGGGCCCATAACCTTGAAGTGCGACGATGAGCCTGAAAATATATTTTTAGTACATATTTTTATTGCAATATGATGAAAAATATGAGAGGATTTCAGTGCGTCTGTTACTATATTCAACTCGTTTAATTTAATCCCTGCTGTAATATTATAAATGTGAAACTACCTCTGTCGGTCTGTCACGTTTTCACTAATAAACCGATAAACCGTTTTTAATAGAATTTGGCATGGATATATTTTAATAAGAAAGGACAGACATAAGACACACTTTTCTAGCTAGTAAGGATATAAGTAAGGAATTAATTGTTTATGGAAGTGTGTGAAAATTGTGGTACTTTAAATAAGTTGTATTTGTTAAAATTTATAAATTGTTAACTATGTACTATGAATTTTTCATTACACTGTTTAAACTTCTTGATTAAATCGAATTTTCACTTATACATAGCACAAAATTAAAAACTACATTGTTTTTTGGTTAAAACCATTTCAAAAATCACATAAAGCAATTCAGTTTAATTTTGTGAGCGCCAATTTTTCAGGAAATGACGTAGTGTGCAATCTGCTACATAGCCATGTTTTACCTTCTGGCAGAATGCCAGAGAGGCTCGCGCGCTAAAAGTTGCCGTACATTGTCCGGACGATTTAAAATATGGCCGAAAAACAGTTGGCTTTTAGCTGGATTTTAACGTACGGTGTAGAAAAATATATGTAAGCTGGAACATAAAAAAAAATAGGTTCTAGTTCATTTATACTCCATATAGGCTAAACAGCCTTTGATTTTGATTGTGATAGTGATGCCCTCTTTTATAGAAACCTGTAATAAGCGTTACATTTTGTTACAGGTCCCATGAGGCACCGACGACCTATCCTTTGCTTGATCGTCCTTTGTACTGTCTTCTCCTTTGATGTTCCCTTGTAATGGTTATTTTTGGTTTCACTTGAAGGGTTTACGTCAACACAAACTTATTACTCCCTTTTAAGGATCATCTTATCTTTAACGGAGTACTTAGTGTATATTTTAATAGCACAAAAATTTGTAATTTAGGCATTCATATAAATGTATTTCAAAGAAAAACTATAGAATATAAAAAGAAACTTACTCGTAATGCCATAGAAGAGACCGCAATTCGACTACTAAAATAGCTATATTAATTAATATTGAGTTCTTTCCGCAGTCGGCTATAGAAAGCAAAAATAACAAGAAAGAGACTTGTAATTTATCCACTATAAAATATGCATAACCCGATAATTTCGATTAACATAAACATTGGTATCTGAAAGCTATGAAATAGAGGCGTTAGCACGATCTGACTATAACCGTAAAACGATTTCACGACAGCCGAATGTCAACGATGGGTAAATAAAATATTCGGCAATAAAGTTTATTTGCTACCGCATGTTCGGTGATCCAACAATCATTAGGTTCCCACGTGTGGGCTTTATCCCACTTAGATTATGAGATACAGACGTAAAACTAATTGACAAGCGGTTACTAGTTAAAGCTATAGACGCTATCTTTAAACCAAATTGCATCTGAATACAACTGAGTAACAAGGCTTACAGAATAGAAAGTAGTGCACTGAAAAACGTGGGTGTCGTAAGAGCCGACTATGGGAGCAAACTACGCAAGACAACAGCACTGCAAAGAGAAGGAAAACTTGAAACAAACCCTATACCAACCCGTCTGGCCAGCGTGGTACAGTAGGCCTAAACCTCCTTTCTAAGGAGAGGCCTATGTCCAGCAGTGGACTAATAAAGGATGATTATGATGATGAACTGAAAAACTTGACTAGCCTGTTACTCAAGTGGTTAGCGATCCTGTTGCCATTGCTAAGTCAGAGGCCGTGGTTTCTAATTCGTCCCATGTTAAATAATTGTGTAATGATCACAGTCATTTGTTCTTTGTATTTGACATATATACGTAAGTGTTACGAGTATGTGTCATGCTATTTCTCTTGCAAAGTTGTGTGATCCATAAATTATTATTCGAGTCTGGGTGTTCTTTTTGTCTATTTTATGTATGTTTGTAAAGTCCCCCGCTACACAGGATATATTGCTAATGCGACAGTTGCCTCAAAAAAAATGGCATTATCCTCAAAGGATGTAGCCACAATGCTTAAGCCTGCGGAGCCGTCAGCTCTCTAATCATGTATAACGTGTTGATATTATAACGAATATGGACACGACCAGCATTAATACTCATGCTGTACCTGAGGCTGTCAACGAATACGCCTGCCTTGTGAGTCATGCCAATTCGGTAAATCAAACTTTAGGTCAACAGAAGAATATTACTTGATAGCGTTCAGAAAAAATCGGGCCTGAATTTGTCTTTCTGGAGAGTAGGGTCGTGTCCAATAACTGATATTTGGCACCCACCTAGGACTGTTCCTAAGATGATCGGAAATCAAAGGCTTAATTAGTTATCTTGAGGAGTTGGGATGGCACAATATCTGCTCCAAAGCTATGCTACG